TGATGCTGTTGTATAATTCCAGCTATGTAAGGACAACAAAAATTTTTAACTGCCGTTCGTTCCACAATCTCTTTGATTTCTGATTTAAAAGTGCATTGGGTGAAAAACTTCAAACAGGAGCCTGAATGGAAATCCTTTCGCTTATCCCCCCAGAGACACATCAGCATCAACAGCAACACTACAGACTCTCTGCTGATCATCTCCCATCCTGCCAGGGTACCTCAACAAGCAACGAGACCTTTGCATTGGGTAGAAAAAGAAGAAGCTATGTTGTCCTGATGGCTGTCTTTTTCCTGTCTCGTAAAAAGATGTTTCTCAGATGGTGTTGGGAGACGGATTCTTTGATTATCCTTCACTGCTTCTCACCCATTTCATCTTGAAACGAGGATTTTGGTGTTTCCTCTAGGGTTGATCCTCATGTATGTGAGGACAGGAGAGCCCAAAAACTTCCTCTATCCCTGGCTGCATCTTCTGTTTTTCGTGATTTCTCACAGTAGGTTGTACTTATGATTGTGGATGCTGGTGGGTTACATGTTCTATCGGTCCTTCTGGACATAAGATCTAAATACAGGAGAAGGGATCTGGGTTTGATGAGAAAAATTCCAAGCTCTTACATGTTCTTGCCCTGGGCACTTAGTTCATGGTTAAAAACCCCTGAGAGTACACACGATCTGTTATCTTTCTTTAATATATTTTTTTTTCCTTCAGTTAACTTTCCATAGCTAATTTAAAAATAGCATTAGAAAGGGAAAATTGAACATTTACAGATAAAACTACCTCCTGGGATAGAGGGCTCCTGCTGCTTGGAAGCACTGTATTCAGTACCAGACCAAAGTATTTCTGAATCAGGATGGTAAAAGAAAGTCAGAAGGCTGAGTATGTTACTCATCTCTCTGGAACTGCAAATGAACATGATCCTGGCTCCTTTTTTTTTGGTTTTGGTTTGGTTTGATGGTTTTGTGTTTGTTTTGTGTTTGTTTTGTTTTGTTTTGCCGAATTTCATTAGTTATTGCATTTTTCCTAGTGATAGATATTTTTGCTGTGCTATGCCAAATGCACCTGTGATTTAGTCCAGGTCAGGCTTATCTTTGCTAGATTTGTATAACCTCATATCTTTTCTGCTGTTTTGGACAAGAGGAGTGCTCCACCAGTACTAACAAGGTGCTGCCTTGTCCCAGAGCATCACAGGATGCCGACTTCCAATATCCCACATTTATAAAGTAGCAACTTTGGGCTTTTTCCATGTCTGCTCTTCAGCCCCAAAATTAGTCTCCTGGCATACACTGAAAGAAACCTCACAGCCTTCCTGTAAACCTGACTGTGAAATCTAAAAAAAAAATAAAATAAATCTATCCTACAGGCAGGCTGCTGCTTGACTGCTCAGCATGCTTGGTTTTGATATCTCACAATTTTGTTACACCTTCTCTATGTCCAGCCTAATCTATTATTTCATGTGGAAGGCTTTTGTGGAAAGTTTTTTTCTTTGCTTTTTGTGGCTATTGCACAATGGAGCCCCAACCCTCAAGATCCTGAGGTGCATCAATATAAATCCTAACAAACTGCAAGGAAGAAGGAGAAATAATATTCATCACAAGGCAAAAATCTGTCACAGAAGGTGTAGAAATTTGCCTTGGAGCAAGGAAAGGACTAAGGAGCCTACTGAACTGCCTTCTCTGTTCTATGTGAATCAAAGTTAAAAATTAAAGCTCCCATGTAAAGCAGGTAAAACTGAGATTTGACCAGATCCCGCAAGAAAGATGTTTTTCTTCAAAATGGGAAATTGTCTGGGGCAGGAGCCAGCACTGCAATCTGGATATTAATTTTGCACTTTCTCCGTGTCCTGGAACTACTACTGAACCTCTACCCTATCTCATCAAAAGAGGATGTTTAAGGGTTTCTTGATTTCCAGTAAGCTTTTTACTTCTGAAAACACTTACACAGACCCTGAGCAGCTTCACATAAGGTTAATTTTAAGAATAACCTTTCAGTTAATTTGATTTTATGCGCGGTTGGAAGAATAGTAAGGGTGGTAAGAAGCATATCAGGTCTTTTAATTGATCTACCTTTCTTCTTAATTAAAATGTTTTGCGTCCTGTGTGAGCCATGTCACCCACAGCACCTGGGTTTCAAGAGTAAAGCACATTTATCTTAATGTCCTTATAACCATCGATGTATGAAAGTCTAGCGCAGACAATGGAAATCAACGTGAATGTTCCAACTAATGCCTCCAATAAGTCTGTAATTGGGATTAAACAGAGAGGTTGATGCCTATCAATTAAATCCAAATTATGCAGGTGCAACAGTTGTTCCTTTGTTAGTCATTTTGTGGTGGCTTGAGATTTATTGCTGGATAATCAGATGTATTCTCTAAGCAATTCCAGCAGCTTCACGGGGAAGGAGTGAGCGAGCGGCTGCGTGGTGCTCAGTTTCCTGCTGAGCTTAAACCACTACATTTTCACATTCCTCCAACTGCTGTATGACGATCTATGCTGACAGAAAGACTGTAAAAGAACAGTGAAGATCAGGACCTTTGGGCAAGAGCAGAAGACCAACTCCCTCTCTGCAGTGCTGTTGGTGGGTTCTTCTGAGGTTACACAAGGATGCTCAAGAACCCCTGATCCTGGGTACATGGGAAAGTTTTTTGCTTCCTCTTACTGTCCCCCTGGACCTGATGTATTTTCTGTCATTTACAATTCATATTTAGAAACAGCTCAGGCCTGTGCAAGTCTGACTTTGGCACACATGATCAGAGATCAGGCTCTTTGAGGATTATGGGAAGAGCCTTAACAGTCAACAGAGGCCTAACGCATGTCTTTAAGATGATAAAACCAGGATGAGAAGAACCTACTCTCAAGGTAGAAGTGTTGGTGCTTCTTTGGTTGCCTGGCAAGCAAACCCAACTTTGCTAACCTGGCAAAGTTCCTCCAAGTTTCATATTTGGTAATATTTGGTCATATTTGGTATTTTCATCATTTTCATCATTGGTATCAACACACATTTCTCAATAGCTCATTTCCATCAGGTATTAACAATACTGCAATTAACAATGCATCTGGGAAAACATAAGCCAGGACCGTAGCATAGGCTGGGATCTACATGGCTGGGGGAGCAGCTCTGTGGAAAGGGACCTGCGGGTCCTGGTGGACAATGAACAGGGTACTGCAGCAGCAAAAAAAAAAGCCAACAGGATGCTGGGCTGCATCAACAAGGGCATCATCATCATTGGACATAAAGAAGTCATTATCTCACTCTACTCAGTGCTTGTCAGGCCACACCTGGAACACTGTGTTCAGTTTTGGTCCCCACTATACAAAAAAAGGTGTGGACAGGCTGGAAAGGGTCCAGAAAAGGGTCACAAAGATAATCAAGGGCTTGGGAAGCCTGTCATGTGAGGAAAGGCTGAGAGAACTGGGTTTGTTCAGCCTTGAGAAGGGAAGGCTTAGGGGAGACCTTATCACCATGCTGCAGTATTCAGAAGGTGCCCACAAAGAAGATGGACACTCCCTTTTTACAAAGAGTCACAGGGAAAAGAAGAGGGGCAATGGGTACAAGTTACTCCTGGGGAGATACCAATTGGACATGAGTAAAATTTTTTTACAGTGAGAACAATCAGCCAGTGGAATAATCTCCCCAGAGAAGTGGTGGATTCCCCACCATTGGACACTTCAACTGGGCAGGGTGCTGGGCCTTCTTTTCTAGACCGTGCTTTTACCAGAAGGATTGGATCAGAAATGTTAGACCAGACTATCCTTGAAGTTCCTTCCAACCTGGTTTGCTATGATTCTATGAATAAAATACCTCCAAGCCTAAGAAATACCGTCTCTCAAAATTATCTTCCAATAACTTTCTATCTTCCACCCTGATTGACACCCAAATAACTTAAAAGTTACGGCCCAAAATACTGCTAATTCCACGCTACTCCAAGTAAGCTCTGGGAGGGCTATGAGCACATGGACTGCCCTGTACGCAGCTGCCCAGTAATGGTTAACTATTAGCTGCAAAGGGCGCTAAAACCATCTTCATTTTACTAAGAGGAAATGAAGCAAAACTTAGGAGAAGATTGCTTAAGGGAAGTCAGAGTCAAAATAAAAACATTTCCTGTTGGCTGTCAGACAGCTAACTCTGAGCTAGTCACTGCAGGAGCTCTTTACAGTCAACAAAACAGGTATCTTGCAAGGGTGATTCATCTAATACAGATGTCCAAGCAGGCCGGTCAAATCAGACCCCGAGCATATATTTCTCTTTGTTGACTATAAAGGGAGTCAAGGCTGACTAGCTTTAATATGGGTGACTACACTGTTCTTGTCAAGCAAATCCCACTCCTGGTTTTACGTCCTGACCACAACATCCTTTCCAGGCATACAGCACGTGACAGCCGAGCAGGGAGTACTCGTTTGCGAAGTCAGGCATTGCGAAGCTACACAGTGGCTCAATGAATTTCAAGTGCTCAGTCTTTGCTCACCACCGCCTGTATGGGGGGGCAACGTCGTTAAGTCTTTGATTACCTAATGGTGCCATATTTTTACAACACAAAGTCTTATTGGTCTGTTAGAATGAGCAGTGCTACAGGGAAGAAACGTGTTTATATGGTGAATGTGGCTGGTGTTTTCTTCAGGAGTTTGATGGAAGGAGGGAAGCATCTGAGTGTCACCCATAATGACACTAGAGTTATGGAAGCGTCCCCACCTGTGTGTCTCCCTTATGCACACAGAGTAGGAAGGAGACTCAGGTAGGAACTCCCTGGTGCTCCATATCCAAGGGACTATGTGGGGTGGAAGCAGCAAGTTTCCATGCCACTTCTTGGGAACTGTGATTAAAGAGAGGATTTGAAGAAACTGCATCACTTCTGAGTCCCAGTACTATGCCTGAAAATGTAGGTGACCTAAGTAAAATTATGTGGACATGGCAAACAGATGCCATGGCAAGACAGCTATTCAACCTGTGAACTCCAACAAGGACCTTTCAATGAGCGTATGGAACAGTGGTGAAGTCACACTTACCCTGGCTTTATTTCAGGAGGTTTAGGTAAGGGCTTCAGAAAGCCTTTTTTCCCAACTAGCCAATATGTCTCTTCTACTCCTTTACCCTGAAATAAAAACAAAAATCCAGATGAAGTGCAGCTTTCTGACCACCCTCTGCTCAATACATGACTTCCTCACTGCGTTTCTGAGGAAATCTTGGGCTCTCCTTCACTGTGGTTCAGGGATGATTTGAATTTCACTATCCTAAAAGAAGAGCCATTGTTCAAACTGCCATCTACAAATGACCCTCTTTTATCTGGGCCATTGAAACTACACAGCTTAACAGAAATGAAAAATTACAGGATCTCTAATCATCTTATGTGTCAGCACTAACATCATTAATTGAGAGATTTTACAGCTGTTTCTGGGATGAGTATTAGAACGATAACTTCCTCTCCTACCACTGATGATTTAGCTTTTAAGGTGAGATGCACCTGGTGAAATATAGACATCTGTACCAGAGTCAATCACCCTTGACTGGAGAAGTGAAAGAAAACAGACACTTCTAGGGCAACATTCATCTTCACATAAACTGGACGCTGAAAGTAAGTCAGGTTAATAATATCCTAAAGTGCCAATTCATCTTTACTAACTATATGAAGGTTTCTTTCCATTACTAAACCTGCAATAATTACTTCAGACCTCCACTTGCAGACATATGAACTTGGATGAGATGATTTCAATTTTCCTGAGAGATTGTTGAGGGACCTGGGGCTGTGTTCAGGCCTCTTACTGTAGGTGTTTAAGGCAAGTAAGGCTCCTACTTCTGTCTATTGAGCATGTCAGGAGAGAAGTGATGTTTTGAATTAGTTAGTGTTGCCCTGTTTAGACACCGTGAAAAGTAGCGGCTCCTGCCAAGGGTGGACTAAATAGACTCCTGGTTAAATAGATCTGTCACATACAGCTGATTGCTCGATCCTGTGGTCCTTCAGGAATTACCTCATGTACTGAAACAACTGATGGGGACAGTTTGAGAAGGATCCCACAGAAGAGTGGAGGATAAAGGCCAAACAAGAGTTTAATATGAAAATTCCCCTCTGAAGCATTTCACACAGACCTGGCCTTCTTACCTTCAGTTCTGTTTTTCCCCTAAGTACAATTTCATAGCCTTCATTTAGTCTCCGAAGCGTATCCACTGTACTTTGGCTGACATGAATTCTATAAGCTGGGAACAGAAAGCAAAACAGCTGGATCACTATACTGCACACACATTGCAAATTCCCCACTGCTTCATACTGGCAAGGAAAAAATGCTCCAAGTCCTGCAGGCAGGCAGCTGGTGTAGCTGTGCGGCGCTCCTCTACGTAGAGTTTGATGCTGATGAGTACATCCTTCCAGGTAGGCTGTAATGAGCACAGGGTGAGAGGAGATCTACACTGGGGACCTCCTGGAGAAGGATATCAAACACACCAAGTGTACAAGTCCATCTCTTAATAAAGATGGTAAATGGTAAATGGTAAATGGTATTTGGAATCAAAAATACTGGTTTTATCTATTGCCACAGCATAGCTAGGGAGAAAGAAAGAAAAGAAAAATAACCAACTGTCCTGCTCCAGACACCCAACGTCATTTGAAAGTTGGAATGAAGAGCAGAGAGATGGAGCTTGCAAGGGACATAATGAAAATGTGACTGTGCATCTAGCTCCACCTGGGGTTTTCAGTAATCTGTTCCATCCAGAGCTGCCGTTAACAGCCTATGAAAAAAACGGGCAAAGGTGGAGGTGGGTCTCTTCTCCCCTGTAATAATAGGACAAGAAGAGATGGCCTCAAGTTGAGCCAGGGGAAGTTTAGATTGGGTATTAGGAAAAATTTCTTCACCTAAATGGCTGTCAAGCGCTGGAACAGGCTGCCCAGGCAAAGGGCTGAATCACCATCCCTGGGGGTATTTAACAGACGTGTGGATGTGGTGCTTAGGGACGTGGTGGACTTGGCACTGTTAGGTTAACCAGTGGACTCAATGATCTCAAAGGTCTTTTCCAGTCTAAACAATTCTATGATTCTGTCTTTATTAAATTCCCATCTCCCTCAGTTTGTTTTACAGCCATTGCTGGAACTCACTGAAATTTGTTGGTTTTTTTTTTTTCTGCTGGTGTGAACAAGCCAGGGAATGTTTCTAAAATATTTTCCCCCAAAATAGTTTTTCTTTGTTGCTGTTCTTGTTGAACTTTTACTTCAAATGTGTCAGTCATATTCCCTTCCCCCTTGAAGGATGGGGGATGAACCGTTTAATTTCTTTTTTTTTTTTTTTTTTTTTTTTTTTTTTTCCAGAATAATCAGAAAGAAGAACATCAGTTCAAATATGCAGAGGAAGACCACATAGCTTTGAGCTACATTTCCTGCGATTCTAACGTACAATTTTCCTATTACTGTGTATCTATATACATCTCTATTAATGTATAATGATGCTGTTGTATCTGCAGTGCTCCTGCTGCTCCAGTCTCAGTGGGGCTTCGCACTTCCAAGGATCTAAACCTTGAGATTCTTCAAATATCTGTCTTGCCATTAGAAATTTTCCGTCAAAGTATCTCCTCCATTTCACTGCTTTCCAAATGCAATGCATGCTTCTTAAAATAAGCCAGCCATAATCAAAAGAAAGGTAATTTTCCTTAATTAATGATTAGACTGATTGTTAGTCATAATTCGTCTAATCAAAATCGCTGGAGCTAGAAATGTGAGGATTGTATGAAAGAATTAAAAAGTTCCAATGTGGCATATATACTGCATCATAGTTCTAGCCTGGCAAGACCTCAAGATTTTAATATTAAATATCACAGACCTCAGGTAGCTTGTAAACTAGCCATAATAGGTGATCTCTTAGAGCTGTTGAAAATTTCAAAAGAGAGATCAAGGTTTAAAATGTAGGACATGTTGCCTTTGGAAGCCAACTTGAACTGACAGCCTGAACATCAAAAAGCAAATTCAAAACACAGCCAGGGCTCTGACGCTGCCATCCCTAGATGTCAGCTGTGTCATCCACAGTTCAACCACTATGGCTTTTATATCCACATCTTAACCAAGGACAGCAACAAACAGCAGATCTGTGTACACATAGGACTGAAAAGCAGTAAATGTTTCTTCCCCACCAGCTCTTTTTACACGTCTAGAAGTCTCCAGGCATGGGACAATAAGAACCAGCTGAGAGATGGCACTGTGTTATCTGCTGCAGATATTGGCTCTGTGCATGTAGGCTGCGCTGTTATAACTGGAAGCCTCAGGAAAATGAAGGCAAGACCTTGAGGGAAAAATAGCATACCCATCAAGAAAAACACCAAGAAAACCCAAAGAGGAAAGGAAGTTTAAGGATTTTGTTACGACCTGCCAACGTTTGTTCATGGAGTTGTCACTGCTGACAAATGAAACCGTCATAAAGGATGCAGGACATTGTTGCATGTGGTCTACTTTTCTCTCTGTCCAGCATGATGGAAGCAGTGCTCACATGGACTTCAACCCTTGCCTTGTACTGACCGTGACAGGTAAGTCCATTATTTTACTGTGCAGCATTGAATTAAGGGTTCTCAGCGCTGACTGAAAGCAAGATCCAACACATGTAGGAGAAACTGAGGGCAAGATTCGTGTTGAATTTTGTTGGTGGGATCTGAGGACCATAGCTAGACATCAGAGTCTTCAAGGCTGACCTATGATGGCAAAGTTGATGCCTCCCCCCTCCAGGCTGCTTTGAATTTTATCATTTGACTTGCCCCTTTCTTCTGAGCTGATTTAGTTCACAGAATCACGGAATGTTGCAACGCTCATAACTAAAGATGAGCGTTTCTTCATCTCTCTTGAGAAGTTGGCTTGCCCGCCCACCCCAGGGGCTGTCCCAAATACTCACGCAGGCCTGTGGACTCCATTCGTGACGCCGTGTTCACTGTGTCTCCGAAGAGGCAGTACCGTGGCATGGTAAGCCCCACCACGCCTGCCACGCAAGGCCCTGAAAGACACATCATCTCCATCACCCAGATGGTACTGCACGCACCAGGGGGCTCGCACAAACAAATCTCGTCCTCTCCTCTGACATTCAAAAACCACTTGGGAACACAGAAGAAGGCTTTCTAAAGATCTCATTGGCCTCGTTACTTGCTACAAGTGATCAAAAGTAAAGCATTGCTCTGGACTGCACGTGCTTTATGCCTGAGAAAGATCTTGTGTGGTGGGACCTCAGTTCACCATCATCTGGGAGAAATTTGGTTTGGAGTTCATGATAGCTCAAAGACTATTGCAATCTCATTTTAAAAAGACCTCCTTCTCCATCTGAGAAAACTGAAGTTCAGATCCTGTGACATGACTTTTGTCCCAGTGAAACAGGATTGAAAATCAGCCTTGGAAGCCTGGGGATGTTGGCAACATGCTGGACCACCCTGTGTCCCCTCCTTGGAAAGGAAGACATCATTAGCTTGCCTGTCTAGCCAAAAACTGTTTATTTTTCCTCTTTCTCATTCTTTAGACGAGGTCCACGCCCTTCTGAAGTAGCTCCCAATGAACCAGTGCCAAGTTCTCAGGGAGAGGTATGTGTGCAGGATTCACATGAACATGCACACACGCAGAGATGAACCGTGTGACAGCCAGACAGCACAGATAATTGTCATCTGGGGCACTTGGCTTAGCTAATGTTTGAACTGTGCTATGAAGATGCTAAATTTCATCACCCACAATTTAACAGGCTTGTAAATTTAATGAAGAAAAAAAAAAAAGAAAAAAAAAATTAAAAAAAAAAAAAAAAGAAGGAAAAAAAAAGAAAAAAAAGAGCTTATGCTCTCAGTAATGTAAGGAGGTGTGGGGCTTCCTGCAGGGAAAAGACAGGCCTCTCTGTATTTTCCATTGGATGCATTTATGTCATATGGCTTTTCACGCTCCGCCTGCCTTTCCAGTTTCACGATCCTTCATGGGTTAAGATTTAGCAAGACCAACATCTAGGAAATCTCCCATGCAAAGTTACAAAAGATATGAACACAGTACATCATCAACAGTATCTGAAATGATGCTATAGATAAGGGTTTTCATAATATAAAAAGTTGTAGGTTAAAATGCTGTGTTTTAAATAATAGTTGTAGTAGTAATAATAATAATTTTATCTTAATTTAAAAGTGAACAGTTACTTGTTTTAGGACAATATAATTTTACTCTGCTATTAGCCTTCTTAGTTGCAAAAAAATGATTCTTCATATAGTTTTCAGATATGACTTAAGGCCAGTGAAATTCCATAGCTGAAAGCTGTGGGGAATTTTGCAAGAACCCCTCTTGCTGTGACCTCTGAAATGCTGTTGCTGCAGAGTCAAAGTAACAGGATTTAAATATAATTTACAGAGGATGCAAACCGAGAGGTAAACCAGATTTTAACTCCTGCCTGATGAAGCATCGCTTGCTTAAAGATTAAAAAAGACAAAAGAGGAAGAATGGTTCATACTGAAAATGTTACAAGGACTTAAACAGTATCTCTGGATCGAACACAGCGTGCAGGGACTGCTGGAGATCACAAGAACGTGATTTAATTTATTTTTCTTTACTGCCAATGTGTCGTGCAACCTTGGATAAGACACTGCTCCTCAGAATCTCTTCTAAGTTAACTCCCATCCTTATCGCTACTCACTAATTTGGTTCAAGCTCTTCAGAAGAGGATCTAATATCCACTAGAGGAAATTTTTTCAGGATCTAGTCTTCTACAGCACAACTGTAAAGACACTGTTGGTACTACTGGGTCAGGGACCTAATGTTTACCTAACTGGTCCTGAATGTGTGCACGCTAATGTGACATATGCATAAAGATGAGTCATCTTGGAGACTTTTTAATTCATGCTTCAGTAAGAGCTCTCCCTGAGAAAACACTACCTCACATAATATCACCCCTCTTTATCTTGTGGTGATGACATGACAGCAGCACTCGGAAATCTTGGTGAGGATCAAAGCTCCTTCTGTAATAGGTATTGCCAGGACACAGAAAAAGTGGGTCTTGTCAAAAAAACGGCCCTCACTGAGGAGGGTTTGACAGGTATAGGCAGCTGCCCTCCTGCTGTAGCTGGTGAAGGCCAAGTCAATGCAGCCAACTGAGCCATGAGAGTGTTTCCACTTCTGCACCTGAACACTCTCCAGGGTCCTCTTGCGTGTCCACCAGATCTCCACTGACCACAAAATGAGTGCAGGCTTCCTAACACTCCTGGAAACACCTCCCAGTAGGTGCCTAAATTTAGGTTTCCTACTCAGTCAGTGCAATCATCCAATCCTTTCCGCAAAGTTCACAACCTAGGGTAGGCAAGGCTTTTAGGGTGAGGTACTATCTTTCCAGAGTACTGCTTTTAAGCCTGTCCTCCTGCTGCAGAAAGTTAACGGTTCAAAACCAACCCTACAATGTAAGCATGCCCAAAGGATTTCTCCATGTTAAAAGCATCCAAGAGTTAATTCACCCGCTGACTTCGCTGCCTGTGTGTGTTCCCCTTTGTCTAGACAGCTTCAGCAAAGGGCTAACAAAAACTTCCAGCAATAAATGTCCCACAGTAACAACTTTCAGAGGAAACCAGATACCCTGCGATAAGAACGTTATAGCCTAGTTGTTTAATTATAAAGGTTCGCTGGTTTGTTTTGAAATGGCTCTTTGCCAGGGCTTGCAGGGTCACTTAATGAGCCGCGCTGGCTAAGACTCGACAACAACCATCAGTGGTGCCACAAAGGTTAATAAGCTTGTTCAAAGTGCGGGGCTGCCTGCCAGAGAGCCTGACAGACAAACAGATCCTCCTCGGCCTTTGTGGAAAATCTCATCTCCTCACCACTGCTCTCCTGACTGTTCAGCTCCAGCCCAGACACAGACGGCATGGAAACAGCTGAGTCAGCTGAATTTTTCTGGACGTGCAGTCAAACCAAGAGAGGAGAGCCAAGACTCCAGGGTGCACTTAAAGCAGGGGGAAAACTGCAGGCGAAACACTGGGCTTCCTGTGCTCTTCGCCTCGCCCATGAACTGTCACAACCAGGCCATGGGCCCGGGCCAGCAGAAGTTCCCAGAGGTGCAGCTCGCTGTTGGGATTGGAGGCACGCGGGCAGCCCATACCCAAATGGCATTTACTGCTTTTTCAGAGAGGGGCTCATGAGCCCCTCCTGGCACCAGTTTCCAGAGTGAGGTTGGCCCACAAAGCTGGTGGTCACACCCATTCTCCATCCTTTCCAGGATGGTGAAAGTGTCAGTCACACCCTCCTCTCCCCCAAGGGCTTCCTTGATGTTTTCATGATGCTGGTGATTCCCTCTTCACGCTTCTTCCCTCAGGAGAAACAGGGTCGAGGGTTAACCAAACTCTGCTGTCAGCTCAGTGGCTCAGAGAGCTGGTTTGCTTTGGAGCACGCGTTTCTCACTGCTCCCATAACGGTACGACATTGCCAGATCCACGCAAAACAAGATCTGTCTCCTGCTTCTTCAGAAAGAAAACAGCAATTCCTCCCCCTCTTCCTCTCACACCCTACACAACAGCTCAGAGCAACACCACTTTCCAGGTACCCAGAGTTCATAAAAACAGGAAAAAAATATAACTACCCCCCACAAACACCACCTAGGGATAGATTTTTTGGCCGGGTGCATGGAAGATGCATTACAGAACTGCTGTCAACAGGCAGTAGCAGATGTTGCACACTGAATTCCTCTATTTTCATGTTGAAAATGTGCTGGTGGTGCACCAGAGACTCCTGCTCTGGGCAAGACAAGTTGGGGTCATAGTCTCATCTAATTTCTACCAGAGTATAAAACCCGCAGTGCTCCTGCAATCATTCTTTAACACTTCAGACTTCTGTTAAGGGCCAGCTAAGGCTCCTGAACCACAAAGAAAACAGAAGGGAGATGAATTTTTAGAGAGAACCCCAAAAGAAAAAGCTATATGTTTGAGAAGATATGAATTATTGATTTTAGCACTGTTCAAGTCACAGCTCTGTTCTTGGGATAATCTGGGTGAGATACTTCCTTTTCTCTGCTCTTTTTTTTTTTTTTTTTTTTTTTTTTTTTTTTTTTTTTCCCAGTGTGTACAACACGGAGTGGGATATTGACTTCTGTAAAAGACTTGAATGCCAAAGCTGCAAAAATGTGGGCATTATCAGATAGGCAGAGGGATAAACCTCCCTGTAATACTGGGTCAGACTTCTGGACAATCTTATTCCCCGTTTCTTTTCCCACAATGGGCAGTCTGTGGTACTTGAGAGGAAGATGCAAGAAGCCTGGAGACAAACAGCTGGGAAAAATTTATTAATGGATGACTGTGGTATAAAATGATGAAGGTTTATATCGCTTCTAAAAATCCTGATTCTATGATAACCACAGGTGTCTTTTCTCCATTGAAAATACTTTTGCTTATATGACTGGAGTCCTGCTGTTTGGTGGGTTTTTTTGTTTGTTTTGGAGTTTAATTATGCTTTGTACATAAAAAAAGAACTTCCTCATCTTTTACACAAACCGCTCTTCTGTTAATTGAATAGATTATGACTTCTACATTAAAGATTATTTACTTTATAACTTTTTCCTAATAGCTTATCACATATTCTTCCAGTTATGTCCTACCTGCAAGAAATCTCCCCAAATTTTTCTTTCTTACGCTCTATATGCCTGTTTTTCTGTCTTTTTTTTTTTTTTTTTTTTTTTTTTTTTTTTTTTTTTTTTTCAGAACAGAATTACAAAGACATCACTGGATGTCTCCATATCACATCAGTGAAGATATTACGGCACATCAAAGAGCCAGCCTTACAACAAAACCCTTGTGACTAACATATCTGATGTAGTTCCTGACTGTGACAGAATATGCAATTTCTTCCCCAAATGATACTGAGACATTTTCCCCTTTGGGGTTTGTGTTTCCACTTTAATGCCCTTGTTGCTATGGAAGATTTTAAAGCATCTTCTAAGGGTGTTTGTTTTGGGGCAGGCAGGGAAAAAACGTTCAAAGATGGAAATACAATTGCAAAGTTCTTTGATGTTCAGGTGCAGGCGAGTGCCACTGCCTACCTGTGTGCAGCCCGATTCGTATCCTGAGGGGGATGTCTGGCATGTGTCTCATTTTGAACGATCCCACTGAGCTGAGAATGTCCAGGGACATGTTGGCTATCTCAGCTGCATGCTTGTTTCCATTCCTTTTTGGGAGACCTGAGGCAACCATGTAGGCATCACCAATTGTCTCCACCTAGCAAATGCCATTACAATAAAAAAATAAATGAATCACTTGAAATAGATGAAGAGATGCAGAATAAAATTTGAAAGAGTGACCCACAGACATTTTGATCCTCATGGCCAGGTACTCCTCACCTTGTAAACATCATGGTTTCCCAGAACAGCATCAAACAGCGTGTAAAGGTCATTCAGAAGGTCAACTACTTCAATGGGTTCACTGAGGGCTGAAATGGTTGTGAAGCCCACGATGTCACTGAAGTAGATGGTGACCTGGTCAAAATACTCTGGCTCCACAGTGCCACCGGTCTTGAGGGCTTCCGCCACTGATCTGAAATGACAACGCAAGCAAAGATGACAGGGCACAAACACTTTTGTAGGACATGCCCAAGAGCCTAGACATCCTTGTCGTACTGCACTCAAAAGGTTTTCCACTAAACAGAAGGTTCTATATAGCTGTAACGAGCACTGATTAAAGTTTCTTACTTTGATTGGAAGGTGCTTGCCAGAATTGGAAGTCAGTTATGCAATCTTGCTCACTTCTGGGGAACTCTTTTGTCCAGTCTAGCTATGGTTTTTGGGTTTTGGTGTTGGTTTGGGTTTTTTTGTTTGTTTTTTGGTGTTTTTTTGTTTTTGGTTTGTTTTTTTTTTTTACCATCTAAAGTACCAGTACTTACGGGGGAAGCATTTGTGACAGTAGTTTTTCTGTCTTCTGCTTTTCAACCTCTAGCTCTTCGGTCCGCTCCCTGATTAAATCTTCCAAGTTGCTCGAATACTGTTCAAGCATCCTGAGCATCGAGTCAATTATATTGGTCTTTTTCCCTTTGTTGATGGTTTTGAACTGGAAAAATCAAACTGGAGAGTTATGTCTCCATCTCATTACACCATTGTAGCACTCTAAGTTTGGAAAGGAACAAAAAGCAAGCACTTAAAGGCGTGATGCTAAAGACTGGCTTCGTCAGCAGCAGGAGTTCAACGATAGAGGAAAAAGGCAAACTAGAGGATGAATTTCCATCAGTAACTACAGAAGCTGACCAGAAGTATGTTGCTCCTCCATGAACATTCAGTGAGTGTTGAGTGAAACACCACCTTGCATGAGATGACAACACAGATGTGAGTTGTTACAGAGTCTTATCATGCTGCAAATTTGCACCCTTATTTAAGCCATGACTAACCTTCGGGGCAATTTGCAGCCCTTTGCATTCAGAGGTGCAAATTTCAGGGCATTAGCAACACTTAAAACCTGCTTATCTATTACTGGTCTTAAATCCACCTTTGCATGCTGGCATCTATGCATGCTGCCACCTCCCATCCCCAATTCTTCACTGAGTTGTGCTTTTCCTTTTTGACCTGAAGCTGAGCCTCTGGACCATTTGGATAATCTGGGTCTTCAGAAGCTGCCCTAGTCTCAACAGTGGAGTTACACGGGTGTAAAGTTATTCACAGTTTCACAGAACCAAAATGTAAAAATTATGGATATTGGTTTACCTAGTTTGACATTTTAAGAACATAGGAACAGTACTGCTGAATCAGACAAGGGGTTTATTTTGCCGGTACCTGTCCATAAGACCAGCCAATAGTTGGTGTCTGGGAAATCTGTTCAAACAGAGCTCAGTTAAGGTTATATTTCCCTGGGATATGCTCTCAGCCTTCACTGATCTGCAGTTCAAAGACCTCCTATGCCAAACACTTTGCGTTTAAAAGCCTTTGGTGAATTTTCCTTTTAAACTAATCACCTGTTAAATATTTTAGAAGATCAAAAAACATATTGGTCTGAGGGTGCTCTCATAATTTACAGACCTTTGATCTCCATGAGACCATCTACACTGCAAATGTGAAGACACCAAGCCTATGTCCAGCCTGCTTCACACCCTGCGTGGTGCTGCCATGCCACCACAAACCATAAAATAAACCAATAACAAAGGCAAGACTAGAGCTCTGGGATTTCTTCAATCATTATTTAAGGGGTCACTTAAAGAAATAAAAAAAAATAATAATAATACACTCTCCTGACAAGTACAAAAAAGGATTGCACCTGCTGCTCTATTCACCAACCTTATGAAATACTTCCTCAAAGGTTGGACGTCGTTCGGGAGCTTCACCCCAGCATTGCTTCATTACCTGGATGCACTCCAGGGGGGCCAACTCAGGGGCTATGCTTGGGCGACACAAGGGAGGGGGCTTCTTCACTTTCTTTATAATTTCTGTGACAAAGAGAAGAGTGGGAAGCATGTTATGAGATGGAGGGTCTTGGTGGAGGCACAGACATGGACCTTTTCACCTGTCCCTTGCTCACTTGTTCAGCCATCACTGTTAATCCTCACTGCCCAACGGCTGTGTCAAGTGAAGCTGAGGGTTTCTGCTTTCCTCTGCTGGGAGTCTCTTGGAGGATTTAAAAGATAAGAGAATCATCTGCTTTCTTGCCCCTGGAGAATCGAGTTATGAGCAATAAAGCAGCTGGACGGAGGAAAGTTTTGTGACAGATGGATGTAGGGGCCTGCAGTCCTGTATTTAATGAAATTGCCTCTGACTCTCTCCATTAGGATGTTCAGTTGTCTAAGAGAGCAGAGGGTTAGGACCAAGCCCAAACAGGAAGGATACCAGCCTCTGACGCTTCACCGTTAACTGGGAACCAGTATGTAGGAGGTTGATGGGAATGGAGACAGTGGTAAGTATTTCAAGGGAGAGAATTTGGGTTCAAAACAATGTCTGGGAAATTACTCCCTATCCAGAGGTGAAATAAGACTAATAAGGAGATGGGCTTGGGCTTTCAGACCCTGACAAGTCATTCCTTGAATGTGCAGTTTTTAGATAAAACAGCGCTACAGAAAAAAAGGAGAGGAGATGCAGATTTTGCTGGCAGCTGAAGCACAGGGGAGTTTAATGTCTGAACCCAACCCTGACTTCACTTTAGGTATTTCTTAGTAAGAATATCTTGAGAAAATGTGTTTTTTGTAAGGTAGAACTGTATCTTCCTGCTTAAAAGAAAAAAAAAATCCAACCTCAAAGTGTTTGTATTTGAAGGTTTAATTTTGTGTAGAGCGGAGCAGTCAAACAGAGTGAAAACCAGCCTCTTTCTGGCAGGAGCCCTGCATTTCCACAGCTGTTACTGTGAGTACCCAAAGCTTCTCAGTGTTGACAGCCTACTTCAAAGCTCTTTGGCTTCTCCCACCGGTCTCCACCAAATGAACTAACAAAGCACCTGGCCCAAATATTTCCAGGGGCAGCCAAGGGGAAATGCCTTTCCCAAACAGTTTTAAAGTTCACGCCATGAGTGATAGCTCCTTGAGGATTAGGACGTAATAAGCAGAAATTCATCATTTTATCAGGTTAGGAAACTGGAGTGCACTACGTGCAACACTTATTGGAGGTTCCCTATGGGGACTAGGTGGGGGGATACCTGTTAATTGCATCATAGGCTACATCATAGGTCCAGCTCTTAATTACAGAGCACGTTATATCATAATCATCATTGTCATTGCATTGTTGAAGCATCTTGGGGTGCAGCAAGGTCAGGGCCCCATTTTTCCAGGCGCTGAACAGGCAGATACTGAATGGCCACACCCTCCTTGGTCAGTGTCCAGCTGAAAACGTGTTGAAAATGGGCTTTGACTGAAATCAGCTCTTTTTTGATTGTTCTCACTCCCTCCCGGTTCAAGTGTTTGTGACCTGACCTTGGTTGCAGTGTGTTTGCTCTACCTATGCATGGACAACAGAGTTTAGACTAATGAGAGTTGCACTATGAGCAGTTCCCAAGTTCACCTATTTGCTGTTTCTGTTACAAGACGCCTTATATATGTCAGCAGGGTCATGATGTATCACTTTGACCTTTGCTGAAGAGAGGAATTCTTTAAAAGGGAAAGAAATTAAGGAAAAATAGGTGAGCAGTTAGAAAAACCAGGATTATAGCCAGGGGTCCAGTTCAAAAACCTCAACCCCCCCATGACACAAAAAAAGGAGCCCATGAGTAGGAAGCAAAGGAGTTTCCAAGCTATGGGAAATCAGATTTCACCCCATACCGTGATGAAAAGTCAAAGTTTTGACAGGGAACTGAGGGTGCTGCAGGGGTCTGACTGGTGGCCAGCTCTGAAGCATTTTGGGTGGTACCCAGAGCCCCAACCTCATTGACAGCAATGATGAGTCACGTACCATGGCTGAGATCAGGACTACACGTTCTGATGTTTATTATGGAAGTTTTGTTGAAAACAGCCTCTAGTCACTGAGAAAGGTCAGGAGACTGGGACATTATTTCCATACTAACGTTTTACGCAAGGGGCTTGGCCAGACTTTTGGCCAGAGAACTCGGTGTAAAGCCTTAAAAATGTACTGAAATAGTTTCCTACCTTCAGCTGAGAGTTCTGACATGCAGTATGGTGGACCTCGAACGATCACTTCTTGTAGGATGATTGCAAAGCTGTAAATGTCCCCTTTGAACGTGCCCTTTCTGCACATGTCGGGGTCCCTCAGTAACTCAGGAGCTGTCCAAAGCAATTCTAAAAAGAACCAAGAGCATCGTGTTTCTTACGCTTGAGCTCAGACTGTTTTGCAAAGTGCTTAAATGAACATTTCACTTCAGTGATTTGACGAAATGTTGAAACATAATTATTTAACGTATCAAGTATTTTATTTCTTGTGATGTATTAAAATTATTAAACTTGCATCCTGATAAAAAAAATAAATTAATTTTCCACATTTCACTCTACCTTTTAAAAAAATTTTGCTATACCAACAATTTGCATGCTAAAACACCAACCTTGAACATCTACGTAAAAAGTCTTCTCACCATTGCCAAAAATATTAACACCTTTTTTTTTGTTTGTTTGAAAATATCACTCAGTCAAAATATTGGCACTGAAGAGCAGATTTCTTGTTACTGTCGTTGCCCTTTTACAAAGCAACAGTTAATAAAATATATTCTGTAGTTCTTCTTAGATGAAAGCAGTTTCTGTAAACACAGTTTCTGGCAGTTTGAAGTACGATCAGTCTTTATAATCCGATAGTTCAAGTGACGAAAGACACAATTGTAAAACGTACCTAGCCTCATCAAGAAATGAATCTTCTTCAAATTGGCAAATTGTTGCCCTGGTAACCGTGCATTCTGAATAATGGGAATAAGGAACATTGCAGCTACCACAAGGTATAACAGTTTTTGTCGGAGAGGAGAAGAAGGTTTTCTGGCAATTGCCCTATATGACACATGGAAAATGTGTAGGAAACAAATCCTGTGACAGAGGGTTCAAAACACTACATACTACTTGAAACCAGGTTTCAGAAATAAACTGGGATGCCAGAGGAACCCCAAGGCAATGGCCAGATGAAAGAAATCCTGTCAAAGTCTCCAAACCTGGTCCCATGAGATGCTGTCCCTAAATGATGGAAATGTCGTGTGGCAGCCTTTTGTGACTGGCATGTAGAGGATCTATTTCAAAGAGACCTGTATCTTCTCGTGTTTCAGACTCTTCAGTTTTACAAAACAAGGCTCTTTGCATTTGGGTTAACCGAAAAATTCAAAGACAAGGTTGGGGCTAAGGATGTGAAGCTAGTTACACCGGTCACAGAAATTCAGAATTAACCAGATTTTAGGGGCACTTAAATCCTTCTCCAACTACGGCAAGCTTAAGTTACATCACTGCTGACAATAAAATCATTTTTCCTTACCATGGTGCTCTGCTATTTACTTCACTTTCAGGAAGCCTGAAAAAAATTTGCTTAGCCTTTCCTGTAACAGCACATTGTATAGAGGTAACTAGATGTCATGAGACTGAGCACATAAATTCTTACGTGGCCACTGGCCTGCAATTGCATTAGGACAAGCATCTATTAAATCAATGGACAAATATTATTTTAAAAAATATTTCCTTATGGCACCTACCTTCTGGGGGTGGTTGAATATACGGGCATTTCTGTGCTTCTAAGAGCTCATTATAACCATAGTCGGTGATCTTCAGCACAAACCGGCCATCCACGACACAGTTACGAGACTTGAGACGTCCATGGGCAAAATCTCGGTAATGCAAATACCTAATTCCCTGTAAACCACAGAAAAGATTGAGGCTTTTCCTTAAGAATTATATCATCTATCAGCATTCAGAGACACCGAGCCAAACTGTCACCTTGGATGGCATCAAATACAGCACTGACTATGCCAAATGCAGGGCTGGTCAGCCCAAGAAACTGTGGGAAAAGTTCAGAAATGGATTGGGAATGAGAATTGGGCTATCTGCACCCTAAAGTAGTACTGGAAAGGATTGGCAGCTTTAGGAAGAGTCAGAAGCCTCCCTCTGTAGCCCTAGGACTCACTGGGCTGTAGGCACAAGAAGGTGGACACGAGTGGTACCCAATGGTTAGGTCAAGGGAAGCCATTAAGAGATGGATGCCCTTACCCAGCTCCCTCAGGGAGGATCAGAAGATGGATCATGGCTGTAAGAATTGTTCTGGCATCTACCCTCTGTAGGTCACCTGTCCCAGATGGGTAGATGACCATTAGGAATTGAAAACACATGGGATGTGACTGGAAGTGTGCGAACACTCATCTAAAGAGACCATAAGTGTAGGCATCCTATGCCAGAGGATGGCTACGGCTTGGTTCTATGCTGGATGCATTTCTGATTTATGACAAGAAAGGGCCTTTGGAAAGTACAAATTTGTGACCAGATTCATTGTTCTAGGTGATCAGTTCTAGCCTGATATGTAGTTTTAACCTCTCATCCTGCTCCGTGGATGTAGTCTTATTACCCCAAATAGTGCTTCTCTCAGATGGTGACAAAACAAGAATAAGAGACCTCTACTAAAGACCCCATATATCAGTACTATTAAATTCACACTGGTTTTCCCTGTATTACTATAACAATCCCGAAGTCCTGGATGAAATAGCTATGTCAATATAAAAGTCACATGCCGGTCACGCCTCAGCAGGAGCAATGGATTTACTTTAATTAGATCCATCACGAGAGAGGACTTGAACATCCAATCCAGTTTCATATCTTCGTTTCTCAGCAAGTCCTCCAGGCTTCCTCGGGAGCAGTACTCCGTCGCTATGGCAAAGATGCCACAGTCAGAGAAAAAGCCCAGGAACAGATTCACATTTTCATGACGCAGATCTTTCATCTGAAACAAGACAGTGAATCACAGCGAGACCAAGTCAGCCAGACATCTGCTCAGCAGCTTCTTTATATCATTAGATGTCCTTATTCTGCACTCCCAGTCTTTCACACAAGGATGGGGAAGCAAACAACCTCTGTGCTCCTTACTTTCAGCTATTCTACACTCTTTTAAAGCTTTGCTTTTCTTAATCTATCCGTTAAGACAAAGAAAGCAAGATAGCAAAAGCAAACTGAACAGAAATTTGTTTTTCTTTAGACGAGCTGGATTGGATCTTTCACTAGGACAAAATAGCTTCAGTGGGGTAAATTGAGTTCAACATGTGGAGTCTTGCTCCAGCTCTGGTCTGATCTGGAAAGCAATACCATGCCTGGAGGATCCAAAGTCATCTATCAATGATGCCTTTGGAGACATGCCCTGGTAAATTTGTTATATTTATATGCATAAAAATGCCACTCCTATGTTAGCAGCAGCTGCCAGCAACTAATGGCCTTGAATATGGAAAATAAATGTGTTTACTTGTCATTTAGTTATAATATAAAAATGAAGACTAAAAGTAAACTTCTAGCAGGCCTCTTGGCTGGAGACACAAAGCAAATCCCAGAGAAATGCACAACCATGTCTGTGCCATACTGTCAACAAATAACACATGAAAACAGCTACCAGCGCACAATCCTGCCCTGACACAGGCTGGGCTCATTTCCTCCAAACCACTCCGCCTTCGCAGACAAGGTCACTTAGAGGACTCATTGTACGTTCAGCACTGCACCAGCTTTGAAGTGTCAGGCCCAGGGTGGGGTTTTGCAAGATGCTGACTCTGACACAGAGGTCATTGGTAACTTGGTCAGACGCACTCCTGAATGGTCCATTCTGCCAGATTTCACTGGGCAAAGGCTCATGGACAGCCATGACGCGGGATTCGGTGGATAAACAGGAGACAAGGAGAATAAAAATACCCTGCAGTCCCAAAAGTTCCCCCAAAAGAACCTTCCCTCCACATGCCCCATCATCCCCTGTTCCTACCTTCCTCAGGATGCTGGTGGAGCTTTGCCGCAGGTTGTGAACTGCTCCCGTCTCAAGTTTTTTCATCCACACCCAGTCTCCCTGTTCACAATACAGGCGGGTGAATGGCAGAGCAAGTCTCTGAGCAACAGTTGACACTGGGACCTAGGTCTGAATCCCAGATCCTTGACTTTGAAAGTATTTGGAGATTTGGGGATTTTCAATGTTTTTGGCAGTAGATTCTTCCTATACCACACCCGAGTAAAAATGCCCACAGCAAACACTCAAAAAATGGGGCAAGACAGGGTCAGAACTTCATGCCTGGAAGGTGTATTAGTATCTGATAAATAATGATAAATTGAATAAAAAGGAGAACAACTATTCAGAGCTTTTTTCTGACATAGTGATCCAGGTTATTTTGCTTCTTTTCAGGAAAAACTGCTATGCCATTTTTTTCAGAAAGCTGTGTTTTTTTGGAAAGAACTGATGGATGGCGTGGGTTTTCTTGGCCACTGCCTCTGCTTAAACTCTGTACAGTCCTACTGGCACAAAGGGAAATTTGATAACCTTTATTCTGTGTGTTTGGATCCTGTCTTGTAAGAAATGACCTTATCAGAGATGTCACCACCTAAACGCTGTCTTGTAAGAAAGGTTCTTCGTGGTGCCTTTAGGTGGTGACACCTCTAACAGAGACCAGACCTGGCAAGCTACATATGGACGTCAAATACCACCCCCACTACATGACTCCAAGCGTCAGGGTGAGGGTTGGGGTAGAGTCACCTTAAACACTGGTAAGTCCATGCTTGGGAGTAGCTTATTTTCACACATCAGCACTATTCCCATCCTGGGACCTACAGCACTGCGGCCCAAGACTTTCCTCACACGAGCAGCTCAGTGAACAGAGGAGGTGGGAGAAGGCTTCACCAGGTCCCTACCTACCTCATACAAAGCCACGTTGGAGGTTTCGTAGGTGGCAGCTGCACTTTTCAAGGAAAAAGAGCGGTTTGATTTCAGGCTTCTGCCGTCGGCTGCTACACTGTTTGCATCTGCCAGACTGTCCAAGGTCAGCCTCTGGAAGGCAAGGAAAGCAGGTACAAGACAGTTTAAGACCTTTGGATGTAAACCTCCACTCCAGCTCTGCCTCCAGGCATACATTTCACCCATGCTAGCAACCACCAAAACCTCTACAAAGCTCTTCAGGTTGACCCTGTTTAGCACCTTGAAACACTACAGCAGCACTTTAGGTGATGGAAATGCCACGGCATGGCTCTGGCCTGTGTCAAATGACCCTCCCCAAGGAGGTCCCCAGGTCTGGGCAGGAGCCAGCACAGGCCAGGAATGTCTCCCAGTAGGTAGTTTGGACACACTGTTTTAGAGGGTTAGATGGTTTACCTATATGGACATGAACTATGCTATGAGATCCAACCTCAAGAACAAAGAATAAGTCCTGGCTGTTAGAATAAACACAACCAAGGGTACTATTTTACATCCACGTAACAGATCTGACACTGCACGTGCATCTAATCTGAGACTCAAAACCACTCATCATATGGGAAATTTACTGATATGCAGGGGAAAATGAGGCAAACGGGGTTCCCAGATCTTCATGGATATGAAAATACCATACAGCAAACCTGTCTTTGAGTGTCCCACCAGATTGCTTTCACAAGTGGAAGGACTTACCTTTTTATGTAGCTCTGGGTTGATGAAGACAACATCATCCAAGGTCAGTATTATCTTATTAGGTCCCCTGAATAGCTGGCTGTTCAAGATATTATGCCTGGGAGATTTGGAGAGTCACGGTTAGAATTTTTAGGTAGGCAACCAATTTATACCACCTTTGAGTCCTCCACATCTGCCTTCCCTGCAGTATAAGGGAAGTGCAGCATGTGATGTGGCAGCAGGGGTGGACGTGGATGAAAGCAGTGCACAAATTTGATGTCCTAACTCGGAGTGAAATCCCCTGAGTCAAACAGCAAGGGTTATCCAATTCACTGAAAACAAAAGCTATAACCTCAAGGGGTCTCATCACAAATAGACACTTTGTCTGTCTGGTTACAAATATGAATTGGATGTGTATGCAATGCATACTTTGTTTTGTTCGGGTTTATTTTTCATATGCCAAATCGTTCTCCATTAGGAGAGAATAATGGGTTTTATTAGACCAGACAATCTGGCTGATGAGCAAACAGCTCTCAGGCACACCAGCCTTTCTTAAGGCCTGAAACTGAGCCACGGGAAATTTATAAAAGCTGCCTGGACACAAGTTACCATCATAACGTGGTGTCTAAATCTCTATATTGTAGCATGGTGCCGTATGAAGCACGCATCGATACCTCCTTGTAATGACTGCAAGGTGGTACAGAGGGAAAAGCTACAGGGGGTGAGCAGTTTGTCGTGCGTGGCATAGAGCAATGCAGCGTGGAGGTCTTGGAAGCAGTATTGCTGAGCTAGTACTGTTCCTCTTGGTCAGGAGTAATTAGATCAAGAAGAAGACTGTGCTGATTCAGACCTACTTCTTCCAGGACCTGAGCCAGATGGGATGTCTACCACGCACTGCGTAATAGAGGACAAATGTGCTTCTGGCATCTCCACAGGATGCTGCTGCCCCTTTTCCAAGGAATGATGCTTTGCACTACTCGATAGGCTACCAGATTTGCAAAGTTGCCATGGGTGAGAAAGAAAATTTAGTGTAGTCATCAGACCAGCAAAGACACTATCTGTTGCTTGACTGCATCCTGCTATTTGCCCCACTTCTCTCGAATTTACAAGGCAGAAGAGACCCAACAAGCAGCGGTGCACTGTCAAGGACTACGTGTTCATGGGATGGTTCAAACAAGCTTATATCCACTTCATGCAAATCAATATGAAACATTCCATGGTTTCATTGTTAGTTTTCAGCCGGGATACATTTGACACTAATACCCACCACATGGCCATTTTACAAACTCAGGGGAAGAGGCAGAAGTCACACCCCATCGTTTTGAACCCACTATTTCGACGGACATCAAGGTCTAACGCTGAGCACAAAGAACACTCTACTAGACAGCTAAAACCTCATGAAACAGGAAGAGAGAAGGGAAAGGAAAGCTCCCCCGCTGCCCTCAGCATCACTTGTTTTGTTTAAGGAACTTTGTTTACAGTACAGCAGATGTCTGATCTGCACACACTAAGACTTCTGATGAGCTGGGCAATGGGATGCCTTTAGCTAGCTATACTATAGAAGGAATCCACTTCACCAGACATCCATAGGTCACCACAATTTCCACTGCATGTGCTGCTCCAAGTATTTTAGAAGAGCATGGGCAGCTTTTTGGAGTTCGGAGGGAGCCTTGGCCATATGGCTGCCTGGGGTGATTTTTTATAATCTTTCTCCAACTTCTTTGTCGCAAGCCACCCAACTCATCTTCATGCTAAAAACTCATCACTTATGTACTTTTCACCTTGCCTGGTCAATCATATCTTCTCACCCAACCGTGGAGGGAAGCACCCCTCTGCCGAAAGCAAAGCACAGAGTGGAGTGACTCATCATTAAGGTCACACAGCAGATCCCTGGCAGAGCTAAGACCAGAGCTCCCACGTTTGAACTCAGACCATGCTGTGGTTTAAATTTAATTCCAGACATGCCCTTCCCTAACATAAATCGTTGTCTGAGTCATGCAAGGCTTTTTTTTTTTTTTTTTTCCCTTGCAGATGGCCATACATCTTTACTCATGACTGAGCCTTCCCAAGCACAGTCTGGTACTTGTGGAACAGCTTACAAGTAGAGTAGGCAGAAAGATTGTCTTTTATTTACGTAATGGTAGAGGCTGGTGGCCAAGGAAGAGAACAAGGCTTTAAAGTGCGGGTGGATGGAGGCAACCTTCTTGGTGCCTGCAATTATAAGATATCAGAAGCAGCTGTGTGTCATAAGTAAGGGAACTGTTTGGGGTGTTGCTTGCTGGGTGGCCTTATACCATCTGGGCTCGGAGGGATGATTCAGAAGTGGAGAGAAAACATGTTTGGGGAACATTTGAGAGGCAGAGCTGGATGGGACAATCCAGGAACCCTGTCTGCTGAGCTCACTGCTGTTGAGTAAATATGCCTTCTAATTTGACTCTAATTTCAGTCATGTACCACGCTGACATCATTAATGAGAGACAGATTACTCCAGGGGCCAGTTTGGAGCAGATTACTTTAGGTTATGGTCATAGTGTCATTACCAAAGAGCAACCCGTAGCTCCTGGACCACCCAGTCACTGCTGCCTCACATCCACCTTGGATATAAAGTTGGGATGCAAGTGTGACCTATGCAATTGTTGGAAACTGCCGCTTCCCCAGCAGACTACTCCATTTGCTCTGAAGATCCCATGCCCAGACTAATATATATGCAATGTGAATGGCCAGGGAGCTGGACTCCAGTTCAAAACAGGGAGTGAATCAGCTTGGTGATAAACACATATCCTAATTAATTACTCCCAACCCTCTCCAGAGATATTCTCTCTCTTTCTCTTTAGTACATGGAGAAAGTAAAGAGGGTCAGCCTAGGTGCTTCGTAGGAAACATGATTATGTTAGGGACAGAAATCCAGGAAAGAATGATCTGGAATAAGGAAAAAGACACTTAACATGGCAGCCCACTCAGTGTCCACCATGATGTGCTTAAAGCAGATTTCTGTCTTTGGTTTGTATGGCACAGTTTGCACTTCCAAGTGCTTCAGAGCCATCATCCAGCTAATCCTTCCAGTAACAGACTGCAGTGTTCTAAACCTGGACTGGATTAAGGGTAAAATGGCTCCTCCTGAGACTGCAGAACCAATGCTCACTGCGCTCAAGCCACTAGCACTTAATAAAGTGAAGAGATATGTAGCTGGAGAGCAAAGACCACAGTCAAACCTGGTGTGGTTCACATGGTCCAAACTGCTGGTTAAACTGCAAGTCTCCCACAGAAGCTCAAAGGGGCACCAAATCAAATATATACAGCAATTCTCACCTGATGAGAGAAGCCAGTCCCGCAGCACAAAGCATCAGGCCAAATGCCAGCATTGTTCCCAAAAACATGACTCTAGGCTCAATCCCTGTGCAAAGAGGGGAAAAGAATAAGCAAATTAGAAAATCCCTTTGATTTAGACAATAAAATTAAAAATATCAGCATCAAACCATTAGACTATGACTGCAAATATTCAGCCAGGAGAATGCTAGAAGACAGTTTTAATGCACAATTACTTGCTGACTTTATTTACATGAAACTTCAGCTACTTTAACTATTTATTTCCATGCACATTTTTCTTATACCAGACCTAGACCCCTGGATCAGTGGAAAAAGAGTTTTTCTTCAAGTAAATAAAGACTGGACTCACAGGAAAGTATTAGGTTTTAGAGTCAGCTTCTGCAAAGTTCATAACTTTTGAACATTTGACCCTCTTCTCTCCAGGAACTGAAACACTGAAGCAGTTCTATCATGCGGTACCAAACTAATGGACAGTGTGAGTCACCAGCCCATCTGGGATTTTTTTTTGTTCCCTGCTACAGTTTTCTAATGCTGAGGAGAACAGAAGAGGAGGAGAAGGTTGATGTTTTCTTCAACAGGCCCATCAACAGAAAGTACTGGAGACAGATACTTTGCTCATGACTGTCTTTACTGGGCACTAAGGAAAGCCGACATGAAAGGACGAGCTAAATTCCAGTGGGAACCATTTGCTGTCTCTGTCTCTTCTTTCTTCTTCTTCTTTTTTTTTTTTTTCTTTCTATTTTATTCTGTCGATATTCAGAGATCCTTAAACACAAGCAATCATGGAGGAATCTCGGTTGCTAAAAGGTTCATAACTCTATGTCACGCTTGTACCTAAATCACAGGCCTTTTGCAAGCAAAGAAACTTAGAGCTTCCCAGTGAAAGCTGCAGGCATTTTTGAAAATTGATGTCCTTTTCAGGAAGAAACAGAGCATTTTAGCTGAAATTTTCCTGCTGGGTTTGGACTTACTTTTTGCTTCATCCCAGGGCCCCAGTCCCTTATTTTCCTCACACATACACTGCAACACGGTGCCCAGAGAAGTTGTAAATCCTTGGAAGTGTTCAAGGTGTAGATGCCCCATCCCTGGAAGTGATCAGGGTCATGTTGGAGGGGGGCTTTGAGCAACCTGATCTAGTGGGGGGTTGGACTAGATGGGGAGGTTTGGACTAGGTGACCTTGAAAGCTCTCTTCCAACCCAAATTATTTTATCATTCCAGTGAAAGTTGTCCCTGCCCATGGCAGGGGTGTTGGACTTGATAATTGTTGAAGATCCCTTCCAACCCAAACCATTCTGGTTCTATGGTACTATGAATCTATATAAGAAGTCACTCTGCTTTCATGTTCCAGCCTGGAACTAGCCCTGTACACCTCATCTGAGAAGAAATCTGGGCACAGTAGAGTGGATACTTCACACCCGTTTCTCCACCTTACAGATAGCGTGGATGTAGACCAAGGTTTCACTTCACCAAAGTGCAATGGAGACACAGCCAGCTTTCTCCAGGAGGTTCTCACCTTGAGTACAGGAATGAACAAGACCACACCAAGATGACCTGGGGGACATGGTTTGTTCTTCATGCATGGACAAAGTCAGTCCCCGTAAGATCAGGTGACAGCAACCCAATGTTTATCCCTAGAAGTCACGGGAGCTGCCAAAGGTGTGCCCTTCTCCAGAAGGACTGGTGTGACTGTGAAGCCAGAACACATCCCATAAAGGCCTTGCACAATGTTAAATACCTGGAAAAGGTAGGACTGGACCAGCTTGGAGGCAGACTTGCAGGAGACCTAGTGCTCTAGGGCTGTGGTTGCCATCTAGGAAAGGAGTTGGTTTTGTTGCTGGGCAAAGGAGCAAATGCCTGCTGGGCAAACCAGTGATGAAATGTAGGGGTATGAAAGTCCCATCTCACGTCTCTTCATTGCCTTCTAGCATTTTCAGATAGAATCTGTAACCCAGACCACAGTGTGGTAGGAATCATGTGGAGGTCGTTAACGCTCTCTTCTGTATTCAGTCAGGGTTTTTTTTTTACTGGTGCTGTCTTTAGGATTCCTCAGGTAGCCCCCCAGAGACTCTGCTGTCTGAACAAATCTGCTTTGAGAAAGATCCTGAGAGATATTCTCTTGCTTATTGCCGTTGCGTACTATAACCCACAAGTGCCTGGCCTTAGAGGACTCTAAGGCAATGTGGTACTTGAAAGGCAGCACATAAAACCAAGGAATAGCAAAGGGTCTCTCCCTGATCATGTCCGTTGCTGAAGTAGGGGGCACAGTTACACATCACGACATGAGGACTCTTCCACAGCTGGAAAACACCCAAAGTCCATCTAATTTCATTCACTGAAGCAGTATCTGGTAAGCTGAGAGTAAGAGCTGGTTGGAGCACAAGATTCACACCGGGGTGAACGAGACACAGTAGAAATACAAGAGAAGTAAAAACCAAACACCCAGATAAACAAACCCGAAGGAATAGGAGATAGTGGAGGCAACACCAAGACCAGAGAGCTCATGTCAGTGATGGATGGACCATTGGAGGGACCATGATAATCCTTGAGGAAGCTCAACCAGAACTTTATAACTGAAGCCAGGTTATTGTGGGCTTACGGGAAAGAGCAAACTTACAGCATACTTGAGGGACTTGTGAGATTGAGTTAAACTCATTAGGGAATCTTTAAGGGGGTTGTGGGAGTATGTGAAACTTCTTATTGGATGCTTAGAGGAAGGGACAAAAATGGGGAAAGGAAGGGATGGGGATGGTATGGGATACCTGAGAGGATGGGGATGCTGGCCACACATAAGCACGTTGTGCATTTTTCCAGCCAAACCTTGCACCTGATCATCACAATCTGTCCTACTCTCTTCTTAAACCCTATTCCTAATTTTTTTTTTTTTTCCTTCCCTGGGTGAGTGTGTTCTCTGACTGTGTGTGACATTAGTAGACTACACGTCAACCTAACCGACGGGTAAGATGAGAAGTCCTAGAGCCTGCAACCCATGAGAGGCCACAAGTCTGGAGACCTGCGGACACCAAAGGGTTTGAGAGCTGGCTATGGGGGGATTACAGGTTTGGACCACCTACCAGAGGGTTCATTTGTATGTGTGCAGGAGCTGGCGTTGGGAGATCTGGTAGCAAGCTTGGACCCTGATTAGGTGGTGCATAAGAACAGGGTCAAGGCATTTGTGTTGTCTGTATGTCAGCAATGCTGGCTGTGGGCTGTGGAGCCTGTCAACATATTGCTTCCCTGTATGTGCCACTCTGTCGGTGACTGGCTGCATCTGCAGTGCGTGTGTGTGACTACATGTACTGGGAGCACCTTGCTCAGCCCCATTTCTGGTGGGTCTGGGGTCAGGAACCACAGCAGCCTGGCAGCTTCACATCCAACCCCCGCCTCCAACCCTAACTCCATACAAAAGCCAGACTGAGGCTTGGATTTAATTCTAGTCATAAAATTCAGTCTCTGAAATATTACTAATAATAATAAATTACCACTTCACTGACAAATGCCTAGAGCTTTATGCTTTTGTAAAGGTGCGAACATAAAATCTGATCTCTCTAAAAATCAGTGGGATTTTTCCATAGACTGCAATGGGATGCTAAATTGATATGCTGTTCCTAGTAGCAGTGCAAAATTAGATATGTGATAGCATTATATTTGTCTCTTCTATAGCTTGCCAGCTGCTGTAAGATCAGTATATCTCCACTGATTTAAACCAGCTAGGGCTGAGCCAAGGGGAATGTTTTTCTCAGCTGCTGAATGAAATATTCTGTAGATGTGGTTAATTTGGTCTGTTTAAGTCATATCCTGGAGCAGTAGGAGTAACTGCTTAGTATTATAAGTAAATATGTCAAGTGGAGGCTAAATATCCTACCCTGAGATTTTGGCTTCCCTGTGGACTTTAAAACTGCACCACAGTTGCCTAAAATTAAAAACAATAAGTAAAATCAGTGCCCAGACTCGCAAAGCCAGGTATCTCTGCTCCTAAGTCTTCAATTAACCACCTCTGTTGTCTTCTGTAACTGAAATTATTTTGAGTAATGATTATCATCTTTTCTTGATGAGGTGAGCTCTGATGATCCTTAAAGCCGCATAGCTAACTGGGTAGAGAAGGTGGGGTTAACCGGGAGAGATGGTGAGAACATCTGTTGTTGTGCAGCTCTCTTAGGCTGTCTTCAACACAAATCCTCTTAGTGCCCTGTCCCTCAGAAGGACAGGGACACAGTGCTGGTAGAGCCTCTGGCATATAGTGATTGCTCTCAAAACAGGCAGATGTTGACTGTTAGACCTGGAAAACCCTCTCCAGCACACAACAGTGGAAACAGCCTTATTGAACTAATAAGCAATAAGAGAGTCTTGTGGTTCAATAGTGGGATCTCTGCATAGGACTCCCATTACAAACAGGATGATGACTGTTTATATTAATTTCTTGAGTTTAGACTTTTCTCTTTGGGGAGCTCTAATTTAAAGGGGCAGTCATGCGGAGTAAGAGAAAAAATAAAATTAAAAAAAAAAAAAAAGAAGCATGGACCCAATGCATTTGACCCTGTTTTTGTTGTCTTTCTTACCTCCAGTGCAGAGAACATCTGGATCAAACCAACAGCTACAGTCTGGCTGGGGTGGAGCTCCACCAGGAAAGTGGATGGCCCGGCCTAGGGACTTCACAGAGTCTGAAGACATGTCCAACAAGTGGGTTGGGAGGAGATGGTTCCTAAAACCATCCGTGTCCAGTATCACATAGTTGCTCAGCCCCCTCCCACAGTTGTCTGTCTCTACCCAGTGACTAAATCCAGGGAAACTCAAGTTTTTTGTGTGCTCGGCTATGTTAGCTCCTGAAACACGGGCTCCTTTCCTCTGAGCATTGTCTATAGCCATTGCCATGAAGTAAATGGCATCATAGATTGTTCCAAAGAGTGGAGAAACCTAAAAAAAAAAAAAAAAGATAGAGAAATTGAGGTCAGGATATACCGCTTCCAACCTCTAGTTTGAGATTTGTTGCAAAAATATGTCCCACCAGCTAAGTTGTAAACTCAAGATCTGAGACTCTTGAGTACTGAGGCTCACAGAGTAATGGGTTTGAAGAATCTTAGGTTGAAGGTAGCTCTGAATCGACCCAATACATGTGTGACGTTGAATATCTGTCTTTTTCTCATGGTTGCTTCCGAAAATACAATTTCAAAATATTTTTAAAGCTATGTAACATTGTTTTATCATGGGAAAAGCCAAGACTCTGAGCCCGATGTTCAGCTGGCGTTTTATCACCACTTGCCTCAAAGCACTGCGCTAAAGCATCTTCCACAAATAGAAGATTGAAGTCAGAGGCTTGCATCCCTACCCAAGCAGGAAAAGTTTCATGCCCAGAGGATCGATCCTCTCTGTCACAACATCGTTTATTCCTAAAGTATAAAAATTACAAAGCAGAGCCACAGCAAACTTGTTCTCAGCAATACCATAGCCTTTTCTCCTTGCATTTCTCCCTGCCGTGCCAGACTTGATTTAGGAAACTGTAACTTTCCCCTCCCTTAAAAACGCACATGGTGGCTTTTGCAATCACATGGACATTCATAGTTGATAACCGAAGGGAGATTATAGACATACACTGGTGATAAAATGAGGAGTGCTTTCGGGAGTCATAGAATTTGACATCTGTGGTAGGATTCATTGATCAGACGTAGACACCTACAGTAAAGAACCCTACACTCAATATAGCTAACCTGGGCTCTCATTATAACGAAGGGAAAGAAAAGAATGCTTTCAAGGCATGATTCATCTCCTCCTGAAGTAGACATCCCTGCAGATCTAATAAATCATGCCTTAACAGTACTTGCAATTTTTCTGAAAGATCATAGCGAGATTTAAAGATTAGCTCAGCTGAATCCTGCAGCTCTTCACCAGTATGACAGATTCCCCAATTCTTCTTGTAATGTCTACAAGGTAGCAACTGACTTTTTTTTTTTTTTTTTTTTTTTTTTTTTTTTTTTTATATAGGCTACTGGTGACATTTAGATAATTGTGCTGGCAAAGAATAACTTTGACTATAGTGCTAAGAAGAGTGAGACAGCAACGATCCTAAGCATTTCCCTCTAGAAGCATCCAGTATTTTGCTCTTCTGTCACATCCCCCCAGATTGTGAGGCACGTGGACATATTATTTCGGTGCCTTACAAACTCCATGGACTTTATCCACCTTAGGAGACATCTCTTCAGCTTGGGCCTACTGCAGTTAGCATGTAGCAAACAAATCTGAGAGCCTCAGAGACAACCCCTTTGTCTTGAATTCCCAGCATGGTCCTGCAGTTGAACCAGCTGAGATAGGTTGCCAGGCATCCAGGAGAAATGTTCTTTACAAATTAATCAGACCACATCCGACTTTGACCATGTTTTTCTCAAAATAAAAGCATACAGTCTGGGTTGTCTCTCCCCTGTACTTTCTCTACAACTGCTGCTTGTCCCATGTCTCCTGTTGCCAGGTCCCAGAAAAGACAGAGAAAGAATATTTACCTCGGTGGCTTCCAAATCCCTGGTTATTTCACCGTTTTCTTTAGCTTCCCTGAATGCATCATAGAAAGTCCTTTCTCCAGACTCCAGTGTGATCGTGAGTACAGCGTCATATGCTTTCTGGAGCTTGCTGTCCTTATCAAAGATGTCAAATGTGTTGGTTTCATAAGGAAGGCTGTACAGTAAAGTGTCGTATGGAACAAAGACGTATCTTCCATCTGCTAGTCCCATTTCCAGAGCCTTTGTGAGTAAGGTGGCCTGTTCCTTCCCTCCAATGAGCACAGAATGCATGCACAGGAGTATAACTGAAACGCAAGGATCACAGACAGTGATGTTAATCCATTTGGGTTTTTTCAATGCAAAATAGCTCCCTCTGCCCCAATTAAAGAGTTGTCTGAATGGCTGTATCGGGTCAGACTCTAATGGTCCCCCACCAATGTTATGTGCTGAGGAAGTTGGGAGCTACATCAATTTTGTTCAACTTCTGGAGGTCTGCAACGTCTAGCAAAGGAGGCTACCCATTACCTGGTAAAAATAAAGGAGGTTCAAATAAAGGAGGTTGAGCATTACCCATTCCTGGAGCCATACAGAAGGAGGAGTGGAGAGAAATTTTGACAGAAGTGAGGCATGGGCTAACATGACGGGTAGTCATGGTCATTGTTGTCATTGACTGAGAGACATGAGATTTTCTGTGCCCAGAACACCACCATTAACAGTGCTCCAGCTCCACCCACTCACCCTGTCACCATATATACAGGTCTTAGGTTGGGCACTGTGTTGTGTTTCAACATCTGGTCCATGCTGGACTGCCCCAGAGTCTGCATCTTTGCCTGCAAAATGCCAGGGGCCAATGTCCCCATGTCTGGTGGGGAGATCTGAAATACAAGTGTTTAACAGGCTTTCCACAGTGCTCACTAGCCCTTTATGAAAGATCTCCTGGTCTCGTGATCTTTCATTCAAGACAACGTTTCAAAACTCAGCCAGTGAGAGGAGTAAAGCAGGGCGATGATGGGAAGGAAAGTTGCAAAGGAGACCTGTCTGTTACTGAACCGGGAGGGAACAGCATCTCTAGAGTTGCTGTGGTCTCTCCTTAGGAGAAAAAGCATCCACTGGCAAAGTACAAGCTGAAGTGAGCAAGAGCTTTTTCAGGTTGCTTAATTACAGGAAAGAAAGGGGTAGTTCTAGGCAGTGATTCATCCCATACCATAGCAGGGAGCTTAAGCTGGTCAGATGAATCATGTTTGAAGAGGGACTGGTTCTCTCCATTGATTATGAAAGAAGCCCATCATCTCTAACTCACATGGAGAGCTGTGATGGTGATGAGATGAAACCACCCAAGGTGGCTTTGGTCTCAAACATAGATTTGAGCACTGATAAAACTCCAAGTTAGACAGCACCTTGCTACCCTTGTTAGTTTTGGCATAAAAGTCCAAGTCTTAGCTAGAATGCATCCTCGTCTGGATTCACAGTGCTGACTGCAGAGGTGTACGTCCAGGATCAGAGCTCCGTCACAGACTTCCTAACAAGGCTCTGAACCAGAACATGACTTTTTTCACACATTTTCTCAAGAGGAAAGAAGATCATTCTTTACTACGTGCTGTACATCAACAAGGGCCCTTCTGCTGCTTTGGTATGTGATGTGTAACACTGGATTTCACTTCTGATACCTTCACCGAACACAGATCGCAAGGACATCACCAAAACATGAGATTTTTGATAATCCAACACATCATTAATATTAAAGCTTCCTATATAACTCTCATTACACTTGACAGAGTCAAACACAGACACGTCTATTAAATATTAATTTTTCAGGCAAGCTGGATCCAATCTTTCATATTTTAGAAGACTATTTTCCCCTTTCTCCATCACATACAAAATGCCCAGCATTCTTTTACATGAAGCCCTGGATCCATTAAGGTCAGAGATAAAATTCTGCTTGACTTCAAAATTTCATTTGTTAAGCTATGCCTTTTGGATAACAATGCAGTCCTACCCTGGAGAAAATAAAAAGGCATGAGACTCAAAGCACTTACTTTTAATACCGTCAACTTTTTTAATCTCATTCCAGGTGTCTTCAATGCCTTTTTCTCCTTTATGTATGGATGTAACAATGCCTACGGGAAGCCCCTCGTTCCTGAGTGCACTTGCTAACTTGTTGGCTGTGTCCATCCAAATATCCTCATTGGAAGCAATGATGCCAACATGAGCCCAGTTAAAATAATTCATTATTGTAAACAAAACTCGGGTTGGAGAGGGTAGTGTCCTTGCAAATGTAGGGTGGCGGATGGTGGAATCCAGATTATAGTTGATGCACATCCATGAGAAGATGGCTTTATTCCAGTTTTCCCCTATAAGTGTGGCCACCTCACAGAAGCCAGGGTTCAGAGGGCCTATGAAAGCTGAGGAATACTTTCCAATGTCAATGAATCTAACCAGAGCTCTTGATGTCTCACATTCTTCTTGCAGGACCACATAATCCAGCCTGCGGCCAAGATCTAGTGAAGGATCTTTGTTTATTCGTCCCACTGCTAACCTGGCAGCCAGGTGGGGAAAGGCTTTGGAAAAGAAAGGGTCACAGTTCCAGGGCCCAAGCAGTCCAATTTTAAAACCAGAACAATATGCTGGAGAACAAAGTAGGATTATTCCCAACAGTAGCCACCAGAGAGCCTGGAAAAATGTCTTGAGTGAATACCCAGTGTTGAACTGATGCAATCTAACGTGCCTTGACAGCACCCAGAACAAGCTGTTAGGACACAGGAGGAGAAATGACATTGTTTTACAGGTGGGTAGATCTGTGCTGAGTTCTTCAGGAAGCCAGGCAGTGCATTACCAGCGGCTGAAAGAAAAGTAGATTACAGTTGCCTTCCGGTATACGTATTTGTTCAGTGCATGTAGATACAGCTGAGTCAGCCCAAATTACACAACGGTTCTCAAGGTGCGTGTCTATGAGGTGCCAAAGCCCTGCACAGACACGTGGACCTGAACCACACAAGCCACTGCACTGCACAGACAGGCAGTCAGTCGGACATCCCATAAGCCCTTAGATGCACACTTAGAAAAACATTTTAAAAAGCTTTGCGGGATAGTCTGAAACCAGGCAGCGAAGAGTGAGTCTGCTGTGTTTGCAGCAGTAAACACAGCCTGTGGACACACTATGGTTTTGGTTCTGCAGAAGGATAATTCCCAAACTGCACAAACACACATACAAGAAAATAAAAAGGTGAAACACACTGAGCCAGCAACTTGTGCCAATCGAAAAACCCCCAGTGAGTTTTGAATATGAATCAGAGCCCATACAAACATAAATATATTCACACATGCACACGCATATACAGACGCATATATACATATACTTAGAGATACATATGCATGTGCAGATGATTTTAAAACTTTCTGAAAAGGTTTTTCAAGGACAACTCATGGCAGAGTCTCTTCAACCTGGCAAGAAGAAAGGTGGATAAACAGGTGATCACAAAACGAGGGAAAAGAAGGATTATGGTTTGATTTTAGATAAAGAACTGTTAAATAACTGTCATGGCAAAAGCTTTGTCTTCACTCTTGGCTTAAAATATTCTTCGTTGACTAGGAGCCATAGGTTTCTCCTGGGGAATAACAACCTCAACCAGGCTCAGAATTTGCAAACCCACAACAGTCTCCCTGCCATCCGCAGTGTCACCCTGTGGCTTAGAAAATTTGCCAATCCAAGCAGGTTTGTAATCTAAAAATAGCAGGCCCCTTACACCAGCTTACCTGTTCATTACTGGAGAAGTATTTTTATCCCGGATTCTCAGCCACCGAGACATGCAACGCAGAGCACCGCAATGCAGCTTGTGCTGTAAATGCCCCTGCAGATCCTCTAGCCTGATGGAGAGGGACCCCCAGAAGGAGCCACCCACCAGCGAAGCAACTTCTCACCGGTGGCAGTGGCTATCCTTGGACGTGGGTCCCGCCTCAAGGATAGGCGATGCATGGTCAGCCTCCCATGCAAGAGCGCTTGGGTGCCCACCTCCTTCAACTCCTTGCTTGCATGGGTCACTCCAATTGGGTGGGTGCTCTGGGACCCTCCACGCCGTGTCAAAAGCTTCCTATGTCCCTTTCAGTGAGGGCCATCCTTCTCCTCCAGGGTTTCATGACTTGAGGTACATCACAGAATCACAGGACCAACTAGGTTGGAAAGGACCTTGAAGATCATCTATCCTCCCAAGTCCTTCGTTTCTCAGTGAAGGTCTTGCAGAGATCCAAGGCTGCTTCACTCTGAAGTGCTTCCGTGCAGAGACGTACTCATATCTAACTTAGTAATTGTAGGGATGGCATGTTAAAGCTCTGCCCTTGGATTAGTGGGATTTAGCTCCTGGGATCTGCCCTGTAGAACAGCTCCTTAAGTCTCTCTGTACCACAGCAGGGATAGCTCCTCTTCTGCCCTGTAAGCAGCAGAGACGAGAGCTATTTTCGGTTTGGGGTAAGCAGAATATTCAATTTCGGGCTTTACCATCCTGCTGATGTGTTACATTCCCCTTTCCCCCATTTTTTTTCTTGTACCCATCATGAGACACACAGAGATTTTTACACCTGCATCAAAGTCTTCTTGGTTATTTTCCTGGGCTCTCCAGATATTGCCCTACAGCTGAGGCCTCCGATAACCCTCTCTACACTTCCACCTTCCTTCCCCAGAGGACCTGGCAATAAAACTGTCATCCTGGAAAGACCTCAAATGTCTCCACACCTGCCCTAACTAGGAAGCCCCTTGCGATAATTGAGCGGAGGTCAGAAGACCAATGCTTGTGGTCTAGAGAGAATCATTTGTAATTCAGCCTTTTAGCAGTATTAACTTCAAAGACATCATATAAATTATACACATCTCATCGGTGTGTGTTCGGGAACATTTCTTCATGACTAATGATTGAGGGAATCCACAAAGTCTTTGAGATGCAGTGGGGAGAACAGCTTCCTCTGTTCATTTAATTCATTTCCTCCCATTCACTCATTCATTCATTCCCTTGCACAGCCCAGATCTGGGAAGGTTCCTGGACACGTGCTTCACTGAAGACTGGTACATCTCAAGATAGTTATCGGGAATTACCAACTAGTTTCACATTTGGAAAGTTAAAAGACACGGTAACATCAAGCCTAAACTGAGAAAACTGCTTTGTATGCTGCTAGTGCCTTAGGTTTTGAAACTAGGTTTTAATCAGAGCATGAAATTAAATAAAGCTTTTGCAGCTAGGAGTCTGATTTTTTTTTTTTTAACTGAACTTAAAAGTTTGATTTATCCATATGCAAATATACCTGTATCTTTATCCATATGTCATATGCTCACTGCTACTTCATTTCTTTCGATATTGACAATGTTGCTGCAGTTTAATTCCACTCAGGGCCAGCACTCCCAAAATCTCCTGGAGTAGCTGCAAAACTACAGTGACTCACTTCTAGGGGATGTTTTGGAGCATTAAAACCTCACATGTTGAAAAAAATGTGTCAGGCACCAAACAATGAAAGATTAAAAAATAATCAACTTGGACGTCTATTTATTAGTGCCATTACTTTGACCCTTAACAATTCATATTTATCCATAACCAAGTGGGTTGAAACGTTTATCACTTTCTCCCTTCTGCTTCTTCCCTGCCAGGGAAAGAAAAGACCCTCGTGCAATCAAGTAATAACAGTGGCAGGAATCCACCCTCCATAGGAAAAGCTGTTTATCTCAAATGGCTCTGCCACGTCTGTCCCACGCTTAGAGTATCAAGGACTGGAGATAAAACGCTACTTTGGAAAAATAAGCTCAGGTCCTGGCACTGCCTGATTTGCCGCCATTAATAAGGTCAGTCAAGCAGCTGAGACCAGAAAAAAACAAACAAACAGACAAACAAACAAAAAAAAGTTAATATATCTGGCTGGAATTAAAATTAAAGTTAAACCTTGCTTTTTCCTCACATCTTAAACTCATCGTTACTGCAACCACCACATCACAGAGCAAGGATTGCTTTGTAAAGTTGTGTTATTTGTGCACCGTCGGGTCAATTCCCAACACTCTTCTGTACTCGCTGGAGGGAGCGATGCGCGCGTTCATACGGACATACCGTTTCCCATGGGAAGGAGAAGCCGCAGCTGTATCGCTTTGCTTTAAATTTTTAGAGCAGAAGAGGGTGCTCTAATCTCTCAGTCTGACCTCCCACATCAGCCTGGCCAAACAGCCTCCCAGAAGCTGCTGCTGCTCTGAGCTCTTCAAGCATCCTGGAAATAAAATGAGTTTTGTAATGAATTATACCAGAGGGTACTGCTGAATAAAGCCGATTTCTCTGGAAACCCTCTGCAGCCAGCAGAGAGAGACAGGGAAAAGGCTTGGCTTCTGTTCTGACTGTCCCTGCAGAAAAGTCTCTTATCTTCACTGATTATAGAGAAAATCGAGGGAGAACAGCATGGCAACGCTCACGTTAGATTTTCTTCACGTCCTCTGAGCCTTAATTAAAAGCTCCAGCCTTGGAGGATCTACCAGGTTCCCACGTCTATTATTCCAACTGTTAATTACCCTCAACATTAAAAATACCCACTTAACGTCTAGTGTGTCTGGCTTCAGCTTCCTCCAACTGGCTCTCACTCCGCCTTTGCCTGAGAAACAAAAAAAACAGGAAGCACAATAAATATCACCTCCCTGTAGACATTTACACACCATAATTAGCTCACAAACTAGTCATCCTCTGAGTAAAATAAATAAACAGCTGCTTAAGGCTTTTGCCATAGAGCATGCTTCCAGGGTGTCACCCTTGCAATGCTCTTTTGAGATTCATTTATAATTTTCCTTCTCTTTGCTAAATTAAAACCAGTATCCATTAGTGAGCCTCATTCCTTAATGCTGAATAGAGAGATGATGGCATCTTTTGTCACCTGTTTGGTTTTTATCCGCTTTAATTCTATAGCTTAGATAAAGACAGTTTCAGCATCGCTGCTCTCAAGACCATCTCTGCTTTCCCTAATGCAAAGCTCCATTTTGTAGGCGTGGTACGAATTCTTTGCTCCCAGATGTATATAAACCTGTCTGGTTTTAGTTTATGGATACTTTTCAAATATGTACATTTAATGAGAGTTCCAGACTAATCTGCAAGTTTTATGAATAATGATTGATTTTATTTTTTTTTTCTGTTTTCTCCAGATAATGTGATACAGTTATTGATCATTACTGGAAAAAAAATGAGATCCCAGAGGCTCCACTAGAAAACACTACCAAAAGAGACACCCTCATTATTTCAAAATATCAATGATCATTTCCTTATGACCTGGGCACAATATGTAGCATTAATTTTCTTCCTCAATATCACCTTTCAGTAGGATGACAACCTGTAGGTGTTTAAGAAGACAATGCCACTACTTGACTTTACATGCCAGATGTATGACTTGATCAGAAAAATTATATAAAGTCAGACCGACAAAATTTACTATTGCTCCAGCCTCACTGTCTGGCATTAGTTAACCTCCATCCTTTAATTCTTTACAAATTCCTCTCCATTTTGTCCTTTCCGTGACTTTGAGTACATTGATGTCAACCCAATATGACATCAGTTTCTTGGCCATGCAGCACGGGAAGGGTTTGGTGTCTCATAGTTTTGGGGGTGCTGGGTTTTTTTGGGGAAGGGGTGTCCTGTTGCGCCATATTATCCTGTTTTCAAGTTGTAGTCCAACATGGGAAATCCTTTTTTCTCCAGATTATCTGGTTTGCATCAGAGCAACTATATGTCTGTGCATCAGAGCAGCTATCAGTCAGCCTTGAAGAGTCCTGTAGAGTCAAGTTCACGTTGAGTCCACTTATTTCCCAAAATGGCTAGATTTATTTGATTTTCTTGGAAGCTGACTTTGTAGCCTGTGAGATCTGTAGTCTCTGGCACTGGCATTAGGGGAATATATGACGTTGCAGGTAGTTTGGATAGTCAATATTGGAGCTGGCAGGAAACAGTCTTATAACTCCGGATGAGGTATTTATCCATGTATTTATTTAGGCATCAAAAACTGAGTGTTTAATTTAACAGCCTCGTCTCCAGAAGCTCATTATACAGCAATACATAGGGAAATGCTCCTCTTCCAAGGGACATTTCCAGACCTCTTAGAATCCATCTATGATTCAACCCACGAAGTGGCTACTGTTCATCATTTTCTTTTCATGAGGCTAAGCAAGGCTAGACTTTTAATAAGCAAGTTAATGTCAGGTACTGGAGGATATAGAGTTTCTTATTATGTGGTGATAACTGAAAAAGCACTCGCCCAACGTGTCTAAAATGTTTTTCTTGAAATACATCAGGTTCAACAACATTTCAGACATGTCTGGATCTATGTCTGGAGACCTTAGAAACTGCCAGGTGTCTTATCTGGGAATAAAGATATCAAGCTGGTATGTCTCACGGGCAGGGACTCTGAAAGTGGATGAGTTTGATATATGCTTTGCAAGCCTGAGCGGCAAGGAGAAGCCTAGAAACCAGCCACAGCAACTCAGTGACAATGACAATTTCACCGATGGCCTTCACAGAAAACCTGAGGGGAACAGCAAACCCACCCAGTACTTGTAGAATTCAGGGAGCTTGCAGTTCCTGGGATATTTAAAAAATAAATCACTTCATCAGAGTGTGTCCAAAAAAAAAAAAAAATCACACTAAAGCTTCTGGCAGACAAAGAATGATGGGTTTTGGCCAAGCCTGTTCGCAGTGAATGGTAACAAGACTTCCAAATGCGTCAATAGACTCATGAATGGTTGGCTGATGTTTTGCATGATGACTTACCCTATGCTGTGTTGCAAACCTTCCCACAAAACACCATAACCTCGCTGGAGCGTTCATCAGATCCTGCCAGATCTGACAAATGGCATTGCTCCCTTAAAATAAAGCTTGGACATGACACTGAAGCTGCGTTTCCTTTACACCAAGGCTTTACAAACCCCATGGAGGGAATAATCCCAGAACATCTTCTGTCCCAGTAGGGCTCTCTTTAGCCTCTGGCATCTTTGGCAGCTTGAAGAAAACAGCCAGTTTTACAAACTTATCTAAACATCTGAGGTTTCAAATGTTTGCTGGAGAGGCAATAACTTGGATACTGAACTACAGCAAGCCCTACAGTACCGGTGTTATACCTTCCTCCAGCTCTCACCTTGCCTATTACAATATGTACCTTTGTCCCCCGTTATCAAGCTACACAAACATCTGGACGATATTTGGTGGGAGAATAACATCATTGGCAACATTTAAATGTTTAGAAACTGAGGACATACAAAGTTCAGCTATCTAGCCTAGGCTGCGTAGGAAATGTGTGTGCTGGACCCAAAGCTTTAT